TGCAGCCCTTCTAGTTCATACTGACAGCCTGCCAAGAAACTTGAGCCACAGCTGTCTAGAAGAGTGTCAGGAGAGGCCCGAAGTCCAGCAGGCTGCAGCTAGTTTATGGTCAGGACATCTCTCTGGATCTCATGGCTTAACTGGGTCTGTAAGTCACTCAGCTTCTTCTTCAATCCAGACAGAGCCGAGAGCACGATGGTTTCAGGGCGTAGAGAGCCACAGGACTCCACGTTGTAGTAAAACCTACAAGCAAGCAGCTGGTGAGAGCCATCCAGGAAGCAGGGTACCAGCTTGGACTCTGACATGGGTCAACCCTTTCTCCCTTCTGGTCTAGAATCCTTGCCATCAGAAGCATGACCTTGCCCACTGACTGGCATTCCTTCACCCCCAAATTCATACATACACTAAGTCTAGCTCACTTCATAGGCCCTTAACGAGGCTGAAATTCCCTCAGAAAGATAGTGTAAAAAATCTCAAAAAAAGCTCAAAACACCAATGTGCCCACACTGAGAAGGTGGGATTAAGCAGTGACCCCATGCTAGAGTACTACCTGCCCGCCACTGCCAGATGGCATCAAGCTCCCACCCCTTGCTCAGACCCTTTTGCTCTGGGAGCTGAAAATTTGGATTGGAACAACTCGGGATAACTGGAGGATCCCCCTCCTTACTCAGTGACCCAGATGGATTGAGAAGCTATTGGCTTCTCAATTTATTGGAAGTGTGACTTGAGGCAGAGTGGTTCCCTGACCCCAAACCTGACATTCTCACACACTTGGCCAGGGTCTTACCTCTCTGGCTTGCCGTTGGGGTCATAGGGCGCCTGGGACTCATCCTCATCCAGCTCAGAATACTCACTCTTTGGCCTAAGGTCAAACACAGGTCAGCACAAGGTTGCTATTGGTGCTTTAGGATCTGCTAGCACCTACTGAGTCTGCCCATCTCAGTCACTAGCACCCGCTTCCACACCCAGCTCCCTCACCACCTGCCCACCCTCCTGCCGGTGGGGACAGACCATTCCTCTGGCTTGGGGTACACTGTGTGCCTCAGGGCATTATCTGGATCGTATTCAAAAGCCACCCCTGCCGTAGGGTTCCACTTGGCATGCT